TGTTATTATGATGGATTTGGTATTAACGAGGCGGCAGTTAGCAGCTAGCTAGTAATTATGCTAATTTACACATCAATAGTTATGTACTTTTATATTACGCTGTAACAGGATCTAGTGATATCCAAGCAACAGCGATTAATTTAGCATGAAATAATTATTGCGCTGTATATATACAGTGCAATAAGCTTCTTAGTGCAATAAGAAGCTACAGGGATGTTAATCTACGTCGGTAATATTAACTTTATTTAATACAAGATTTACATCATACAGCCCATAATATTTTACAAATGATGAATTACAGCAAACAGCTCCGTGGGCTGGCAGTAAGGCGATATGGGTCCGTTCTTATTCTGCATCCATGGGTAAAGATAAACGCATGTAGTGCTGAACACGTAATGAACGTGCCGGGCGGCGCGGTCCCGTGGGTTAGATGCGCGTTCATAATGCAGAGGGAAATAACTCTCAGAATAACGTTATTAGCACATTTGTACAACTTGAGGAACAAATGTTTTTAATAAGGGCTATACAAGTGTTCATACTGGGTAGTCTATTTAGTTTTTAAAAAATGATCCAACGATTTACAGACCACTCTTTCCCAATGTAAGTCAATGGGAAAAAGTGTTTCCGGGCCACCAAAACGGAAGTGTAGTACCGCCGTTTGGCCAGCACGAATATTTTCATCTGAGTCCGGCGCACTTCATGGGGGCTTGCCCGCGCCCCCCCCCTGAAATTCAAGGTGTTTAAAATAATTGAATTGTTTAATATAATTGAACATCTGCTCTTTTATTAAATAAACTAAACGCTTTCATTTTAAGTTGTGAGTTTAGTGTTTTTGACCCTAAAATACACTGATGCACTAATCAATAACAATAATCCACAGCTCCTCTCTCTGCTCCAGAGGATTAAACAAAATATATATCCCAATGCCAGCACCCCACCAAAGCAGTAAACCTAGGGGAAACACTGAAGTCAAGTCTCAAGTCATGAATACCAAGTCAAAGTCAAGTCTTTTATCAATGTTAGTCAAGCAAGTCTCAAGTCCAAAAATATGCGACTCGAGTCAAGTCATGTGACTCGAGTCCCCCACCTCTGCCCAATCGAAAGAGAACACTCAATTCTAAAATAATTTCCTTGTTATAAAATGAATTTATAGCAAGGTTTAAAGTACTTTCCACATATACATATATTATTACAGTATTAATGCTAATGTAACATCAACAAAATGTCAAATTAAATTGTAATTCTGTACATGTAAATTTCCTGCAGCTTACTTGCTTATCTATTTTACTATTTGTATGTCTTGTTATTTTCGTTACAGTTAGGGTCATTATTAGAGGAGCCTGCAATTTAAGATTTTAATTGGCAAAAACTACGCTATTGTGCACATGAAAAATAAAGCCTTTAAATTCTTTGAATCTTATTTAATTAAAGGTTATGTTCTACATCTTGTATGAATATTTTCAGGTCAAATTATACAAAACATTCCAGTATGGGACTTGAACCCACCAAAACAAGTGTTTATCTCTACTTGTGTCCATATCTTAGTCAATGGCTCTCTCTTGATTTGCTTATGGTTTGTTCATATTTCATCCCATTGTTATGTTTAACGTCATAGTTCTGTCTTCACAGGTTGTGTTTCTCTAATCTGATGTGATCGCTGCTTGATTTAACAGATCTCATTAGCTCCGAGTTTGCCTCATAACACGTATGATTCACGCTAAAAATAATGATTTTGTTAATCCTGTACACATACCTTCATGAGGTTGCTCATGGTGTTCTTCACCTCCTCCATGGACGGTCTCTGGCTGGGTTCTTTGTCCCAGCAGCGCGTCATCAGGGTCTCTATGGGCTCCGGAAGGTCTTTGATCAGGGGGGGCCGCGTACCTGCGTCACAGGAAGCAGACACTCAGTAAGCTGGATGTTAAACTCCCTGCTGAGGAACACTGGCTCCATCAGCAGGTCCTGCTCCAGGTCCTGGTCCTGCTCCAGGTCCTGGTCCTTCTCCAGGTCCTGGCTCTTGTCATCTCACGTCTCGACTACTGCAACTCCCTCCTGGCTGGTCTAAATGCAAGCACCATCCGACCTCTACAGCTGATTCAGAATGCAGCAGCCTGACTGGTCTTCACCCTCCCCATGTTCTCCCACACTACACTGAACCCCTGCTCCCTTCACTGGCTGGGGGCTGCCCTGATCCACTTCAAGACACAGGCCTACCGAGTTGTGAACAGATCAGGCTCTTCCTGCATCCTGGACACAGTTAAGCCATAGAGTCCAGCATGTGCACTTCGCTCTACATCGGTCAATCGCATTTGATACTCCCTCACTTGGAGCTTTACCCAGGTACCCCTCAGCATAAACATGCCTGTTTGCTATCCTGGCTCTAAAATGGTAGAATGAGCTCCCCATTAACATCAGAACAGAAGAAAGTATACAAATTTCCGTCTGCTGTTGAAATTCTTCAATAAACTGGTCAAAGAGCTGTCCTGCTGACGAATTGTATAATTTCTTTCAACTCCCACTGAAGTCTGCTTTAAAACACTTTCTTGATACATGCTTAGTCATGAGGAAACTGAGCCATAATGTGCCATGGTCACATGCTGACAAAAAAACAAACACACCTTTTTCCACAAAAAGAGGAAGAAAGCTTTTGAAAGCTATGCACTGCTGGGTTCAATGCACTTATTGTCAGTGGCTTTGGATGAGCGTCTGCTGAATGGAGTGTAAAGTAACAGTGTAAGGATGGTGCTCACCTCTGTGGACGGCCCACATGATACAGAAGGCCGAGCCGCCGATCTCGTCGAAGGGCTTCTTGCGTGTGATGACCTCCCACAGGATGATGCCCCAGCTGAACACGTCACACTTCTCACTGTAGTTACTGCCTGAGGACACACAGCACAGGGAGGGTTGCTTCAGGTCTTCAGATGTATGGGAAATACAGGTCAACATGAAGCTGGTAATGCCTATGAACTGAATCTAATCATACAAGCTGAATTAGGACTACCGTAATTTCCGGACTATAAGGCGCACCTGAATATAAGCCGCAGCAGCTAAATTGAATGATGTGTACATATATAAGCCGCACTGGACTATAAGCCGCAGGTGTTTTAATGTTTAATTACCATATGTAAGGGTTCGTGCACAGAGGGGATTGTCGGGAAAGAGATGGCTGTTTGAGGAAGCTCCCATTTATTAACATTTCAACAAACCAGTTGCATATTTGCATAACGTATTCAAGTGTTACCATTTAGTGCAATAGTAGCTACAGAACATGTACTGTGCTGTGTAAACTGTACTGTATCACATAGCGTTTCAGACACACAAACTTTTCAACTTTCAAACTTAAACGGTGCGCTCCCAGCGCACGTACCGGCAGTGATCTACAGCAGTGGTTTTCAACCAGTGGTACGGGGACAAACTGTCTCGCTCTCGTAATGTCTGTCTGTCTTGCTCTCGTTCTGTCTCTCGTACCACTCTCGGTTCCACTTTTACTTTTGCGCGCTACCTGTCTCACTCTTTTCCGGCCTCCAGCTTTTCCTGCTGGAATCCGCCACTTAAAGTTGGGGGTCCGCGGACCGGCCATAGAGCCCATGGAGTTAAAGGTGGTGGCCGTTAGCTGTAAAAATCCATAGATTAGCCGCACCGTTATATAAGCCGCAGCGTCGAAAAATGGGAAAAAAGGCGCGGCTTATAGTCCGAAAATTACGGTAAATCTGCGTATTACAGGTCAACCGAAGAAAAACGTGTTACATTTTATTCCATCACTATTGGATTGTGTTAATTTCTTTGTTAACGATGTTGTAGGGGACGCACACATGCTTAAGAGGCACTCGTCACCATAGTTTTTAATCTACAGCATATGCGAGGAAGGTTCACTAAAAAGCCTACATTACACTCTCACAATTCACTGCACCCAGAATTGACCTTTAAGGTGCACTACACAATTAGGAGATTAAAGCTATCACAATTGAAAAAAGTTCTAATCTGAATTTTCTTTAAAGATACAGGGATTTGAGCACATTGGGGAGTGACAGTGTTTTGTATCTCACCTTCGAACACCTCCGGGGCCATCCAGGCTGCGCTGCCTTTATTGTTGGTCATGTATGTCTGAATATCACAAGCTGTTCCAAAGTCACAGATCTTCAGCACGGTACCACGAGCCACCAGCAGCAGACTGAAACAGTACAGAGGACGGGGTTAAAGACCAGAGAAGAACACTTTTTAATAAGCTCATGTGGGATTGATGTTCGAGTTTGCATCGGATATCTTTGCACGCAATTGGTCATAAATCAAAGCATTTTATTGGGACCAAACAATGACATCACAAGGTGTCCTCCTGGATCCAGGAATGTCTGCAGATGTCATGCAATCTATTCAAAAGATGTGGAGATATATTTTTTTTTTTGTGGATGGAGGGACAGACCAATATAGAGTGGTGCAGTGTTGACGTAGTTTTATAGGCTGAACCGGAGGTTTGCATCGCAAGGGGTCCCTCGACAAAAAGCAATGGGATTTTACCATTGGATTTCAGAATATTGCGGAAAAATAATAGTATAGAACACACTTTAAAAAATGCTAAGCGCAACTGCAAGAAACAGAAGTAAAAAGCTTCAAACAAACGTCATCACATTTGAATGACTTAGCGTCACCACCGCTAAGCTAAAGATGGCTAATGGTTGGAGAGATGACGTCTCATTTATCTACCCATAGCAACCGCTGATTTGATGTCACCTAATGCTTCAGACATTCACCAGTGGGGGACTAACTGACATATTTTATGTTGTAGAAACAAAAGTGAAAACCTCTTAATCCTAAACAGCATTTATTGCAAGCACCTCACCAAAAGCGTATTCAGAAAATGAGCACTGTTTTACTCCCGTCATTCTTTATCTTTTAAATATGTTGCGTTTTACACTGGTGGAAGCCTGGGACTTAAAATGTTCTTTTCTAACAGCTACACTGTAGCTATTGTGCATATGAAATTAACCTTTCAATCTTTGAATCTTTAATGACATACTTTGGTGGTTTGAGGTCCCGGTGGATTAAGGCCTTTGGCTTCATGGAGTGCAGGTAGGCCACCCCCTGAGCACACTGCAGACACCAGCTCATGGCGTGGGACGCTGTGTAGTGGGGCTGGGGCTCGGCACTGTGCAGCACTGGGACCACCAGGGAAAGAAAGGGAAGAAAACAATCAGATAAATACTTGACAGGAGAAGCTGTCATTTTAGAGCAAATCCATTTTGGATCTTTCTAGAATATCAAAAAGGAATAATGGAAAAGAAGGGAAGAAGATCATTAAAACATAATTGAAAGGAACAGTGTAACAGTGAGTGAGTTTCAGAAAAGCTGAGGCAATATCAACGTACATACATTAACTAGAATATTTCATAGACACGCTAGGACTTACAGTTATATAGCGAGCCACATTCTGCGTACTCCATGACCAGACACACCTGAGAGGAAAAAACTGAAATTAGGCCCATCTGGAACTTTCTCTGAGCTAAGCTACTGTTACCACATGCAACCATACCCCCAACATGCTCATAATGAAATAAGAACACAGCTGGTACTCTACGTGGTTTAGCTACACACATTGGGAAAAATAACTAATTGGAATTCTTTTTGACTAAAATTGCAATAGGATTTGCAATATAAGAGGGAAAAAAACATGATTCACATTATATATAAACATATATCACAATTATCATGGTTTTATTTTTCTACAGTACTTGTACCAAAGAATACCGTTTGTAGGCCGGGACTTCTCTTCAACACTGCAATATTTCCATTAGGATAATATAATATGGCTAATTTGAAGCTAATGCAGTAGCACTTAAATGGTTTGGCTCATTGGAAGCTAATGCACCTGCACGATTCTTACTTTATTGAGTGTGCATCTCTTTGGTTGAATGCACTCATTGTAAGGCACTTATGAAAATAGCGTCCGCTAAATCCGTATTAACAGCTCTGGCACACGTTATCAGAAACCCTGATGATGATCTCTTTGGTTCATTATTCTGTCCTGTACCACACACATATCATACAAGCTATTAGCGTAACTGTGTGCGCGCGCGAGAATGATAGTGTGTGTATGTGTATGATAGTGTGTGTATGTGTGTGAGAGAGAATGATAGTATGTATGTATGTATGTATGTATGTATGTATGTATGTATGTATGTATGTATGTATGTATGTATGTATGTATGTATGTATGTATGTATGTATATGTATGTGTATGTGTGTGTGTGTGTGTGTGTGTGTGTGTGTGTGTGTGTGTGTGTGTGTGTGTGTGTGTGTGTGTGTGTGTGTGTGTGTGTGTGTGTGTTACTCACTGGATTGTCACAGGAGCCATACAGCTTAACAATGTTGGGGTGATTGACCCGGGACAGCTGGCGGAGCTGTGCACAAACAAAACACACTTATTACCATCAACACATTAATACATGAATAACTGTCTGTCTATGAGATCTACAGTGGAACATGATGTGGGACTTGGCATTAGAGCCAATAGGTGACTGATTCAAGTCCCAGTATGGACAACAACAAAAACACACTGAACCCCCGGGCGCCAAAACATGGCTACCAATTCACTCCTACACCTCTCAGGTGAAAAATGCATGTGTTTGTGCATGTGTGTACTTGTACTGTATAAGCTAATAGAGTGAAGACTGAATTCCTCATGTGGGATCTTCTGAGATCTGTCTCCAGCAAGATACAGGATATTCTCTAGTTAACAAATGTGGAGACTTATATGGAGACAACTAGGGATGTGTACCGAGCCCCGGTATTAGACGGGCCCCAGGGCTGAATTATTAAAGACCGTGGTACCGTTAAGCTCCGACGTTATCGGTCTTTTTATCGGTACTGGAGACATGTAAAAATATAATGTCATATGTATTATCCAGAATGCAGCGCTCGTCTGGTCTTCAACCTTCACAAAATTCTCCCCACACACGCCGCTCACTCCGCTCCCTCACTGGTTACTGCTAGAATCCACTTTCAAGACACTGGTAGTTGCGTACCAGATGCTAAATGGATCGTGTGCCCTTCCTACACATCCAGGACAATGGTTAAACTGGTACACGCCCAGCACGTGCATCCGCTCTGCATCAGCCAAACGAGCTTGCTGCACCGTCACTGCGAGGGGACCAAGTCCCCATCAGCAAAACAACAGAATTGCTACCAACACAGATAGAATGAGCTCCCCATTAGGACCCACAGAACAAGCATAGCTTAGCTCATACAATCCGGCGCAGACTGAAAACTCATCCTCTTTCGACTCCAATCGAGAGATAAGAATTAACACACAGCTGATACAGAGCACTTATATACACATAAAAGGACTGGCTTTATCACATTGAGTAGCACTTGAAATGTTTAGAGACTCTCTGAAACCTGATGAACAGATTCTGTTTACACAGAATTGTATCTTCACTGGTCGAATGTAATATTGTAAGACACATTGGATAAAGAAGCGTCAGACAAAATGTCAAATGTTAAAAGTATTACACACAAACATTACATTGCAGTTTTAGTAGTCCCAACTCCGTACAATACGAAACATACTGCAAAATGCGTTATTTTTAGTATTTCGATCTTTCCCGATCCCAGGACGAACTCTCTCTCACACTCACACGACCTGCAAGGAGGGGGCGGGCCAGACACACACACACACATCAAGCAGCAACACACACACCACGGAGGAGTGGCAGAACACACACACGACGAGATGTGGTTAAACTTTAGCCGTCTCGATGCTCGTTGCCTAAAGTGCAATAAGAGTTTTAGCATGTAAGGGCGGTAACACACAATCTCTAAACATACAAAGTGCACCACATTCAGTACGGAGAAATGCACGCAGGGTTCAACTGTCTTTATAGTAGACTAGACACCCACACGAGTAACACACGTCAGGTGTTATAACCTAAGCAGCAACCCAGAGAGTAACTAACATTTACACACAGGAATGAGTAGAGGAACTGAGTTATATAGAAAGTTCAGACTATTCTGTGTTACACAACAACATCAGATTATTATAATATGAGATGTAGTTACCTTATTGAAGTGAAATATTATGTATTAATTTAATAAAAAGCAATGTTAGTTTTGTTCACAATTTGTTTAGAATTTTATCTATTTTTTTTCTCCAAACAGATAAGAGTACCTGTTTAAAAGAAAAACCGGAAACCGATAAGCCGGTATCGATAAAAGTAGTAGTAACCGTTACACAACATACCCATACCCTAGAGACAACCAATTACTAGACACACACACAACCCTATCACACATCAAAGAGTGTTGTTACAGTGTGGGGTGTTGTTGATAACAGAGTGGGAATGTTGTTGTAACAGTGAAGTGTTGCTGTAACGTGTAGTGTTGCTGTAACAGTGGGGTGTAAGAAAGTGTGGGGTGTTGTTGTACAGTGTGGGGTGTTGTTTGTAACAGTTGTGTGGTTGCTGTAACAGTGTGGGGTGTTGTTGTAACAGTGTGGGGTGTTGCTGTAACAGTGTGGGGTTTGTTGTAACAGTGTGGGGTGGTTGTTGTACAGTGTGGGGTGTTGTTGTCAACAGTGTGGGTGTTGTTGTAACAGTGTGGGTGTTATTGTTAACGAGTGTGGGTGAGGGGGGGTGTTGACTGTAACAGTGTGGGGTGTTGTTGTAACAGATGTGGGGTGTTGTTGTAACAGTGGGATCCGTACCTCAACCAGGAAAGCGTTCCTGCTCATTTCACTCTCTATGGTCCTTTATTGCCACATCCTGTCCTTTCCAAGATGGCCTTGAAGACCACTACCAATGTCCCTCTGTCAACAGCCTGAAAAGAAGGAAGACATGACAATATATTACCAAGGATACCACATGCACAGAATTTGGAACTCAAGTAATATTTTGGGGGTACTTATACTTTACTTGAGTATTTCCCATTACTCTACTTTATAATATTGTACACACTGTAGTCACTACATTTTATTTGACTCATGAAGATACTTTTTACATTAATAAAATTATGTCTTTAAACTACGTTGGCTCCATTAGACCATAATTTTATTAATGTAAAAAGTATTCTTCATGAGTCAAATAAATGTAGTGGACTACAGTGTGTACAATATATAAGTGCAGTAATGAAATACTCAAGGTAAAGTAATAAAGTACCCCCAAATATACTTGAGTTCAAACCGAAGCCATCATACCTGTGCATTGTATCCTGGGTAATATATTGTCATCGTCCTTTCCTGTCTTTTCCAGGCGGTTGGCGCAGAGGGACATTTGGAGTGGTCTTTCCAAGGCGCAATCTGAAGGACAAGGAGTGGGCA